TTAGTCAAAGGTAACACAAGTAAACACAACTTGCAGTTTTGAAATGATGGTTTTTATTATTTAGGGAGAGAACAAAATCCAAACCTACATTGCCCTGTGTGAAAAAGTAATTGCCCCCCTTGTTAAAAAATAACCCAACTGGGGTGTTTCACACCTGAGTTCAATTTCTGTAGCCACCCCCAAGCCTGATTAATGCCACACCTGTTTCAATCAAGAAATCACTTAAATATGAGCTGCTGACAGAGAAGTAGACCAAAAGCACTTCAAAAGCTAGACATCATGTCAGGATCCAAAGAAATTCAAGAACAAATGAGAACAAAAGTAATTGAGATCTATCAGTCTGGTAAAGGTTATAAAGCCATTTCTAAAGCTTTGGGACTCCAGCGAACCACAGTGAGAGCCATCATTCACAAATGGCAACAACATGGAACAGTGGTGAACCTTCCCAGGAGTGGGCGCCCGACCAAAGTTACCCCAAGAGCGCAGAGACAACTCATCCTAGAGGTCACAAAAGACCCCAGGACAACTTCTAAATAACTGCAGACCTCACTTGCCTCAATTAAGGTCAGTGTTCACGACTCCACCATAAGAAAGAGACTGGGCAAAAATGGCCTGCATGGCAGATTTCCAAGACGCAAACCACTGTTAAGCAAAAAGAACATTAGGACTCGTCTCAATTTTTCTAAGAAACGTCTCAATGATTGCCAAGATTTTTGGGAAAATACTTTGTGGACTGATGAGACAAAAGTTGAACTGTTTGGGAGGCAAATGTCCCGTTACATCTGGCGTAGAAGTAACACAACATTTCAGACAAAGAACATCATGCCAACAGTAAAATATGGTGGTGGTGGTAGTGTGATGGTCTGGGGTTGGTTTGCTGCTTCAGGAACTGGAAGGCTTGCTGTGATAAATGGAACCATGAATTCTACTGTCTACCAAAACATCCTGAAGGAGAATGTCCGGCCATTTGTTTGTCACCTAAAGCTGAAGCGATCTTGGGTGCTGCAGCAGGACAATGACCCAAAACACATCAGCAAATCCACCTCTGAATAACAAAATGAAGACTTTGGAGTGGCCTAGTCAAAGTCTTGACCTGAATCCTATTGAGATGCTTTGGTATGACCTAGGGCTGGGCGATATGACAATTTTAGACCGTTTTATGATCTACACATCTGATGTTCAGTCATTTTTGAGAGACCTTTTTATCACGATTCACAGCTCTGCTGTTGAATTTCTGCCTCTGAATGAAAAGGGAACTTACCTCAGGCGAATGACACGCCTTTGTTTGTCCCTTAACCAATCAGAGTGAGTCATAGTAACATATTAGTGCCCCACTTGTTTTCACCTGTGTGTGAACAAACATGGCTTCGGCCGCGGCTGAGAGCGACAACGAGGTTTTCGTTCCGAAGAGGAACGCAGGGTTTCCTTAGCGCGCGGCGCAAACAACTTAGCGACGTGACATGTCTCGGAGAAAGCGTAAAAACACGTTGGACGCTTCTTCTGAAGCAGGAAAATAACACTTCTTCTTAAGCAGAGCACGACGTTGCCTCGGCTCGTCCACCCTCTGCCGAGCCGGACTGAGCTCGGTCACTGGGTCGTTGGAGCTGCCCCGTGACTGCCTGATGGAAAACCAGCAGGTTTCATCAGACTCGTAAAGTTTCTTGTTTTTGCTGGGGACCCCCTGTATTTTACCGCTCCCTCCTGCAGTCTTCCCCTATTAACATTTAAAATGATTCTGTAAACTCCGTGTATCAATAGAAACAATCTCTGCCTCTGCCAGCTGCAGTAAATGTAGTCTCCAAATAATAAATCTCCAAATAATTCATCTGTGTATCTCCTTTCATCCACATTAGTGATATTTTCAGCACCAGAACAGTGAAGCAAAGAAAGATTCCTGAGTTTGTTAGTAATTTTATTTATTAGGTGCATCTAACCTGTTCTATTTTTCTCTGAAATGAGATCAAATCAGTGCTTCTATGGGTTGTCTCCAATCTGCACTAGAAAATTTTACTTTATTTAGAGACTTGTTGCAGAAAATATTCAGAATGCGCAGTTTTTTGCTACCACAAGCGATCTCTGGTCCAGCCGCACATCAGAGCCGTATTTGAGCTTAACTATCCACTACATGAGCAACTGGGAGCTACATAGTATTTTGAACAAGTTAATGTTTGCACAATACGTTTGCAATTGACATGTTTGCACTTTAAATATGCTTACGATTTTAATTTATGTTAAGTTACTTGAAAAACGAGAAAAACTGATTTTTGTAATTGTTTCTCTCAGGACTTTTATCATCTCTGGTGTGAGTTTAAAATATAAGTGTGTTAGCACTGTGTTGATTATCCCTAATATGAATAAATGTTTATTTATTCAATGTTTCTCTTCTTTAATACGCAATTGAGGTTATGCTATTCATGGATAAAAAATCGTGATAAAATCGAAATCGTGATAAAATATTGGAAAAATCGTGATATTCTATTTTTGCCATATCGCCCAGCCCTATACTATGACCTTAAAAATGTGATTCATGCTAGAAAACCCTCAAATAAAGCTGAATTACAACAATTCTGCAAAGATGAGTGGGCCAAAATTCCTCCAGAGTGCTGTAAAAGACTCGTAGCAAGTTGTCGCAAACGCTTGATTGCAGTTATTGCTGCTAAGGGAGGCCCAACCAGTTATTAGGTTCAGGTTACTTTTTCACACAGGGCAATGTAGGTTATGATTTTGTTCTCTCCTTAAATAATAAAAACCATCAATTCAAAGCTAAAAGTTGTGTTTACTTGTGTTATCTTTGACTAATGGTTAAATGTGTTTGATGATCAGAAACATTTTGTGTGACAAACATGCAAAAGAATAAGAAATCAGGAAGCGGGCAAATAGTTTTTCACACCGCTGTATTTAAAAATCACAACAATTACAAAATATTTTCAGCATTGATTCACTAGATAAATCGACTCGTGTCCCTTGCTAGTAACTTCTATTTCTTCAAAATAGAAAGTACTACTACCACTACTACTACTACTACTACTAGTTAATCATTTTATGTTTCGTGTGTCTTTGTCTTCTCAAAGCCCCAGTTGGTCATGGCAGATGGCTGCTCACACTGAGCCAAGAGCTTCTGGAGGTTTCTTCCTGTTAAAGGGGAGTTTTCCTCTCCACTGTCGCTACATGCTTGCTTAGTGCTGTAAAGTCTCTGACACAAGTCAGTGACTCGATCCAGTCTGCTGGTTTTTCTTACATAGTAAACTTGTAACCAATTGGAATAATAAACTGACCTGAATATTTACTTTTAGCCTTGAGATGACTCTTGTTGTGATTTGGCGCAATACAAAAAACCAGAATTGATTTGAATTGAACTTTATTGTTCAATGCAAACTTTGATGCAGTCTACAGAGCGGTACTTACATTTCTCTTCTGACAGATAACATAACATGGAGTATGTTGATATTCCAGCAGGAATTGCTACTTCTAGCTGCTGGTATACAGACCTCTATAACGGTGAGGTGCAGAATATTACCTATTAAAGCGATGAAGGCCCTTTTAGTAAGCTTTATAATATTTTAAACATTTTAAAACAGAATAGACACCACACAACAGCCTCCATCCCACAACTGTGAAAGTTTCTTTAAAGTTTTTGAAAAAGAAGCCAAATTAAACTACTTTGGTCTTGCTGGGACTAGCCGTTAGCATGTCCGTCTAGTCCGAGCGGCTTTTTTAAAGCGAACTTTTATTAAAGAAAAGAAAACAAAGTGTTTTCTGTTTTGGTGGTTGGTTTGAACCACAAAAACACAACTTTCCAGAGACTTCTAAACTTTTCTGGACTAACTGGACTCGGTCCATTTATTTCAATCTATTTTAAAAAATAATTAGAAGCTCCTCTAGTCCAGCAAACATATTTTGATTTATTTGCGTTAGCCTCAATAATGGTTAAACTTTTACATACAAATCTTCTCAAAACGATCCTTGTACTGAAGCTCGGTGTGTGTCTTTTAGCCTGAGAGGCGCTGGCGCTGATGTTTTTATACCGGGTCAAATCAGCTGGAAAGAGAACAATTCTCCTCCCTCTATTTTTTGTAAAACTCCTGCTGTTCAAAACTGATCAAGAGAATGGACAAAGACGAACCAAAAAATCGATGAGTGTGTGTGTGGTGTTTGGGGGAGCAGAGACAGGTGCACTGGTTTATTTAGTGAATGGAAGAAAGAAGGGAGGGGAAGATGGACGTATGAGAGGAGCTAAGGCGCTGATGGCGGTGGGTCTTATGCTCTGTCATTAGTTGGGCATTAACCCCCCCCCCCCCCCCCCCCCTCCCTCAGTAATGCCCTGCCCGGGGTCACCGCCTCACCCCAGGGGTCCTAACTACTGCCGTTTTGGCTGCCCGTTGTTCTGCCAGTGACAGAGGAACACGTCGGTCTGAAACCTAAAGGCCCTCAGACCCAAGTGTGACGTCAACCTCTGCATTATATCCTCTTTTTCTTTCATTTTATGTTACAAACCTTTATTTTTTCTTCTCTTTGTAGTTTTGTTGTGCTGAATTAGAGCGGCTAAATGGAAGCGACAATTTTCAGCAAAATTTCCTCATTACAGGAAAACTGCTTTTTAAAGTGTCTCCAACCAACAACTTTTTTTTTAAAGAACATTTTTATCGACAGGATAAATGGCCACAAAAGCGTGTTTTTATAAATGAGTAATCACAAAAGCCCGTATAGACTACTGTGAATGTGTTTCCATCTTTTTTTCATCCAAAACTGGTTTTATTTCTGGTTTTCTGGGGTATTTAAATCTGGGATGCAGTAATGGGACAATCCAGGAGCTGCAGAATGCTTTAAGGATGAGTAAGTGGGTTAGTTTGTGCAGGGCGTAGCTTAAAACTTTTATTTTTGTTTTATCAGCAGTTGGTTTTCCAAGTGTTCCAAAGCTGCAGTTAGAACACATTCAGACACTAGATGAAAGATGAAGAATGGGAGATTTTAGGTGATTAAAATGTGATGGTCTCTTCCAGGGTTGGTTGGTGTGTGAGGACCAGGCCTGTCAGAACAGAACCAGGCGTTTACCCATCGCCTTCTCCCGATACGGACCCATCTGCCCCGCCTGCAAGAGAGCCACGCTCAGACCCGAGGTACTGCACCGAACCGTGAAAAGCTGCACATCAGCACCTTTCTTTGTGTTCTCTGGATCTTTTCCAGGCGATGGTGCTATGGAGCTGCAGTCGCCTCTCTTGTGTGCATCTCATCTCATCATATATCCAGTCTGAAGATCTCTGTGTGTGTGCGTGCGTGCGAGCGAGCGAGTGAGAGAGATCAGCCGGGCTGTAGTTTAGCTGTTAAATGCTCCTGTCTCTGCAGCACCGTCCTCATGAACACTTTGTTAGTTTGACCACTGGATTTGAGAGTTTTCTATCTCTCTGTGTTTTTGCCTTAACTCTCTCTGCTTTCAGGGCTTTTATATATAAATATAAAACAAAGTTGCTCTCCCCTCTTCTGGCTGCTTTGCTCTGTCTGGCTGTGTGGCGACAGGTTGTAAACCAGAAGGCCAATTTCTGCTGTCACTGCGGCCACTTAGGCGGCCATTGCTGCGCCTGAGGGCCGTGGCACTTTAAACTGCAGGCTGACTACAACACTTAACTTTCTGTGCTTGCTCATGCAACCTCTCTCATCCTAAAAAAGCATGCTATCTGACTTTTTTTTTTTCATGTTTTACACCCCAGTCTTGTATTACGTGGTGTTTTTATGCAGATCTGAAACAGAAAATACATGTTTGCATATCTGCTGTCCGTTAATCCTCCCGACATGTTTACGTTCACACGCCCAGCACCGTATTGTCCACTCGTAACTGGTCTCTGGCTGCAGCTGTATGATTTCCCTCATGGTGTGAATCTGGCCTTTACACTCTGGTAATGCGCCTCGTCTGGCCTGCTGATTGGCTGATCAGCTGTCCTCCTGTGGCGCTCATTGGACTGATTTGAAGCTGCTGAGAGACAAATCAGCCATTTTGTCTGGAGCCTGGACCCAAGGAACTGGTGCAGAACCTAAAGTGGGTTGAGAGAAGTAACTTTAGTTTGTAACCTACACCTGTTTTTTATTTTATTCTTTACGCACGAGAAAAAAACTCATTAGCATTTTGTAACTTCATCTTCACTCTGTTCAAATTCACGACCACGTTGTCTCTGAGCTCCTCCCAAAGGTTCTTCATTAGCTTTTTATCTTTCCTCACACCTCTTCAGAAAAAGTTCCTCTTGCCGCCTTTGGTCGAGCTCAAGGTATTCTGCTCAGTGCTGCCCCCGTGATCTCTGCCGACACCGTAGCGTTTGCATCCTCTCAGAGAGATGTGAGATCCCTCGTCACATTTTCATCAAGATCTGATCGAACGATCTAACCGAGCTCTTCCACCGGACACTTGAGCGTCTCATGTCAGCTTTATAAACCTCACGCTTATGCAGGCAGCTGGCTGAGTCTTGCATGTAGTACCGGAGGCTTCTGCTAGGGGGCACTCTAGAGACGTCAGACTGGATTTGTGAGTTACAAACAAAACAAACATAAAAACAGTACAAGAGATTAGCAGCTGGTTAATTCTGAGATCACTACAAAGCAGCAGCGGTATCATACATCCAGACACTGCACGACGCCCCCTCCTGGTCACCCACATATTACAACTCGTGAAGATGTCGTGTTAATTTCAGAGGATGCACGCAAAAAAGCAAGTTACGCAAGGCAGCCATGATAGTCATACTTATGATAGACAAGCAAGCATATTCTCAGCCGTACGCAGAAATCAGCTGGCTGCGTTTCCACAGCTGCGCAGCGTCGCATTTTGGACGCGTCCCAGAAGCAAAGGGACACTTCACTTCTCTAAAAGTCTATTTTTTACGTGCAACACCTCTGGAAAGCGTCAAGCTCAGCAGTTCAGATCGGGTCAGACGGGAAGTCCAAACCAAAAAGGCATGTAAAACATCCCGAAACTTTCAAAATAAAGGTCACGTGCAGAATTCCAGTAAACGGAGCAGAAAATAATTTAATCACTCGCTGACATCTTTCTCTTTACTTGTTACCGCGTGAACTGCCAAAATCACGTTCTCCGATCATCTCATGAGCTGGCGAGACCAGCTGCACAGAACGTTCTTGATGCCGTTTCATGTCTGAAACGCTTCCGGTGGTAAAAACACGTCTATTTCGTTTCACGCCTCCGGTGGAAAGGCCAGGTTAGTTGAAAACTCGGGCATGAAAAGACACGTTTACCGTCTATAATAACTAGACGCCAGTCTGTTTATCCACCTTGTTGTTGAAAAAGCTGGCTGCCATCCAGCAGTACAACCACGCACCCAGCTGAAGCACCCTTAAACTAAACACTTAATCCTAGTTACTGCCCTTTTTTTGTCCTTTTCCTCCCAAGAATCATTGAAATTATGACTCCTAGTATGCTAATATTGGCTGTTCAGTGTAGGGTAACACGGCAGACTGAATCAAACCGGCGCGAGGAGAGTAAAAACCCTGCAGCTTACATATTTAATTGGTGCTAATTATATAAAGCACTCAAGAGGTCTTTCATGCCTGTTTGAGCTGCTGGTAGACAGACTGCGCGAGGAAGATGAGGAAGAGTAGCGTTTTTTCACTCAGACGTCTCTTTTTTTTCTTGCTAAATAAAGTTTTGGTTGCTGAAACCTCCAGATGCATTCTGGGTTTGTTGAATGCATCGTCCTCGTTTAGCGCGTTGGCTGCAGCACCATCAGATTTCCTACAGAAGCTTCTTTCCCCCGTTGGTGCTTTTAATATCTCATTTCAGCCCATCTCTTCTCTTCCCTTCCCTCCATCCATCCATCTCTCATCCCGCCTCCCCCTTCTCTTTGGACACAGATTCAGAGCGTGATCTGATCTCCATGTAATGGGAGAGTAATAGGCACTCTGCCTTGATTGGTTGGTAATTTGGGGGCGTTATGCACAGGTGCAATTTGTAATATTTTCAGTAAATTAAATTTCTTTCTCTTCCTCTCTCCCTCTCTCGTCATCCCTCCCTCCTCGGTGCTTAATTTCCACATTTTTCTCTCACCCTTTCTCCTAAATGTGTCCCGACTTTCCTTTTCTTTAGCTGCTTTCTTTTTATTCCGTCCCCTCCTTTAGCTCTCACACTCGTTCTGTCTTCTCCTGGCACGCTCATTCTCCCCTCCCCTCTCTCTCTCTCTCTCTTTTCTCCCCTCGTTTTATTGATGTACGCTCAGGCGCCCATTAGAGCTCCCTTTTTCCCTCTAGTGGAAATTGCAGCATGTTAATTTTCACACAAATTACGGCAATAGCAGGTATCTCTATTTGATACATTATAGCGGGAGCAATCAGAGATAATTGAGTGCCTTTCAGAGGGAGACGGCTGCATTCACTGCCGGCTCATAGCTGCCCCATTATCGCCTAATCGCTCTTTAAACACTGAATTTTGCCGAACAAAAATTCTTGTCATAATTTTGCTTAAGTGTATTTGGAAATCACAGTCCTTTGAGCGAGGATAATTGAAATCAAATCCCTTTCACTGGAGCTGACATTTCTACATTTCCCCCCAATTGAAATTAATTTCAAAAATTGAGCATGAATATCTTCAAATAGCAGGCAATTATGCCTTTCAATGGGGAGAAATTACCGGTGCTGAATGGCTCTGGAGGCTTGCGGGCGAGAGCACCAGTTAAATGCCTTTGTTTCCCGCCGTGTTTGCCTAGTAAAGATTTACATATATTGACTCATTATGGTGTCTTGTGAAGCTGATCGGCGTGACTACCACAAATGGCAATAATGCTCATCGCGTCTGAAAAGCTCAAGAGTTTTAAAGCTGTGTGGCCTTCGCAGCTGATGGGGGGGGGGGGGATGTTTGTTTCTCTCCCTCCCTTCCTCTGTTTTTTCCTGCAGCTGCAGTTCTTGCGAGGGGCTTGGATGTTGCTTCTGGAGTTTACAGGGGAAGGCCTCTGCTCGGGAATACGGTCCGACTACTGTTTCGTTAGCTGCAGAGAGGTCGGGCGTCGCCTAAAAGACACGAGTGGTTGTTTTAGTGTGTCGTTTTTAGCAATTTGGATGGATTTATTGGATTTATAGTGCCTTTTTCTTGTCTTCCATACATACGTCTGTGCTCAAGGGGCAAATGGTGTGTGGAAGGAAGAGCGGGGAGGGTGGGTTGGCCAGTCGGGGATGCGGGAGGCAAAGGGGGTACAAGGTGGGGGCTGGAGGGGGGGGGGGGGGGGTCCGACACTCCCGAGAGAGAGGCAATTTCACAGCTGGTTTGCTCCTTAGGCAGTCAGGCTGAAAATGCTGCAGATTTGTGGAGCAAATTGAAATGGTGTCAGTGCGGGAACAATGCGCCGAGCTGAATGACGAGGTGTGTGTGTGTGTGTGTGTGTGTGTGTGTGTGTGTGTGTGTGTGTGTGTGTGTGTGTGTGTGTGTGTGTGTGTGTGTGTGTGTGTGTGTGAGTGTGTGTGTGTGTAAGAGAGTGAGGTGGGGTTGTGGGGCTCTAAATTCAATAACAATCCTGTAACATTTTAGCCACACCTTTCTGACACCTGTCAGTCAATCAGTTTGCAGCGACAAGCCCGCCCACAATCAGCAGTATATTGTTTGAATGTTCATTTGTGTGTGTGTGTGAGTGTGTGAGAGTGTGTGTGTGTGTGTGTGTGTGTGTGTGTGTGTGTGTGTGTGTGTGTGTGTGTGTGTGTGTGTGTGTGTGTGTGTGTGTGTGTGTGTGTGTGTGTGTGTGTGTGTTTTCAAGAGAAAGAGGTGGCGCACACTGCTTGTGCCGACTGAGCTCGTTCAACCTTGGCAACCGTAACCGAGGCTCCATTATGGGATGCGCATGCTTTGGTTGTTGACTAGGCAGTGCATCAACGGTCAACAGCTGTGCGTGCCATGTAGTCGGTGACGGAAAGCCATTAAACACACACACACACACACACATCACATAGTTTGCATTTAGCTGCATTAGATACTCTCACCACTTGATTATGCCACAGCAGTAAAAACTGAAATTACAATTATGCACGATGCCGATTGGCAGGTATAATGGGCACACACACACACACACACTTCCCGTGCAGGAATTGTCAGGGGATTCTTCCTGGTGGTAATAATAAAGCACTCGGCGCACACCTGATGGCAGTGTGGGGTCGAGGCTTAGCGTGCCCTCTGCAGTGTAGCAGGGAAATGACGAGCCAATAACTGCAATTAAACATGCAGTATAATGGCTAATCAAATTGACAGCCTCGGCTGTTCGCATGCCTCTCTCACAATGGCTTATCACAACAAACTATTATGAGGGAGGGGATACCAGGTCTGATCTGCGCTCTTCTTTCTCTCTCTCTCTCCTCCTTGCTGTCTGTTTGTTCCCTTCTTTCTAGATCTTTACTCTCTCTCCTCCTTTTCCCTCCCACTGCTCCATCTAACTCATCCTCTCTCTCCCTCTCTCTCTCTCTCTTTGGCAGGCTGTCATGTGGCTCCACTTAATTGCAGTGGAAATTAACAAAGCAAGCAAATTTGTTTTCCTGCTTCATCGTGTCACACAGAGGAAAAGATCCTCTCGGGGAGGTGTAGTCGTTAGAGCGGGGTGCGCCCTCGCAGAATCACGCTCAATCTGCCTGCTGAACTCGGCTTATTATTCTGTTTTGCATGTTTTTTTTCCACATCCTGTCATGATCTAGACTTTTTTTTAATCAAGCTGAAATAGTTTAATGTTCAGGATGGAGTTTCCTGCTTCTCCCTCTACTGGTTGGAAGCAGAATTACAAGAATCGTACACAACCCTGCTGCAGCTTTCAGCCCTCTCAAATGAGTCTTTGCTTTATTACATTACACCAAAATAAGAGCGTAATACATTACGCTCTTATTTTTACTTCCAAGCTCCATCGTGACAACAGGAAAAAAATCGACCAAAAAAAAAAGCAAAATTCTTTTTTCTTTTTTTTTTTCTTTTACTTTTTATCGACAGTCGTTAAACTGAAAAAGCTAACTGCTAGCCGTTGCAGCATCGTAAACTCCACTCCCTGTGTTGCCCCACCTACGTCTGTAAAGCAGGTAGATAATTCACACTAGTTTCTAAAGTGCATTTTCTGGCCAATGTAAAGTTGCTCAAGTTTCTGGCTCAAGAACCACCAAAACCAGTCTGAAAGCAATAGTGTTAAAACCCCGCAAGTATTGATTTCAGTTATTTTAATCTGCTGGTTAGAAAGTTAGCTTTAACTTCACGTCTTATAATTATATTTACACTAAACATCGATTGTAAAGTAAGAATGGCATCAACTGCACATCGTTTTTAAAGCTTTTATTTTGTAAAGTGTCCAGGAAAAACACATTTGGGAGAATCTTTAGCTACGCTAACACTGTTCTCTCTCTGTATTTTGATGTTGCTGACGTGGAGGTCATAAAGACCACACATGTCCTCCATCTTTACTCTCAAACATAAATTAGGTTTAATTTGAAACATTTTTCTATTACTAACTGACTTCCTGGTGTAACTTCTGAATAAGTTTGGTCTCAGCTGTCTCATTTAGTTGTGAAATAAAGATACATGTGGGTGTTTTTAGAGCTTCGTGGTAGCTCTGTCGACAGTGTTGCCAACTTAGCGACTTTGTCGCCATTTCTAACGGCTTTTCAGACCCCCTTAACGACTTTTTGTTTCAATAAAGCGCCTTGCGACAAATCTGGCGACATTTCTGACCCCCCTCAGCTACTTTGACTACAACTTTGTAGCCGACTTTACCTGCAGATTAGAGATGCATCTGAAGCGACAGGACCGTCCTTCCTTCAGAGGATCAGAAAGGAAATGATCTGCGCGTGTGCGTGCAGGCAGCGTCGCACTCGCACATGGCTGCTGGCTTCTCGCACCACCTGTGGTGCATTCAAGGAACATTGGAACTCTGTGATGAGTTCAATAACGTAGCACATTTAAAACTTTTATAAAAACAGAATAATACTGTAAGGCAAACACCTCAGGTCATTGGCAGTTTGCATGTTACGTTTCTGAATACTAAATACGGCCTGCTTTTTTTTACACAAAAGTACTAAAAACAACAAAACCAAACAAAAAAATATGTATATATTATCTGTTAGGTCAGTATATAGCATGAATTACAACATAAGAGTACATCTCAAGGCACTTAAACTACAAGAGAAAATTCATTTTAATTCAATCATTCATACATTCCTATCGATTTAATATTTTTGTGTTTACGAGTTCCATTCTCTTCAGACAAAATAGAAATATTCCTTCCATTTTTTGTGCCATCTTTCCTTGATGTTTTAAAGGCTGCTGTTTTGTATTCTATGGAGTTTTTATTTTAATAAAATATTAAAAAATAAATTAAATATTTTTTTTAATGAAATCACGCGGGTTTATTTGATTTACTCTACAAGACCGGTGACGTCATCACGCAAACCAGATGACGTCATCGCGTTGTATGCAAATTGTGACGTGACGTCATCTGGCGACTTTTGGGGGGAACTTCAGCTACTTTCAGTCAAAAACGGTTGGCAGCACTGTCTGTCGATGGTGCTCGCTAGCAGAAACCTTCGCAGAGACCGGATTGTCGACTCTTTAGTTAAAAATCCACAAAAGCCAAAAAAAAGCCGAAGGATGTGCATCCTATTCTCTCCATTTGATTTCACTTTTCGAACACAACTATTTATTTTCCTGGCTGCGGTGTTCGTCACACACAGATGAGTGGCTGTAACGAGGGGAGTGTTTAAATCTGTGTATTTGGCTGAGTCTCTGTACCTAATTATAAAGTTAGGAAACCACAGAGAAGAAACATTTGAACAATACTTTAGTTTTTTAATGATTATTTGTTGGAATACTTGGAAAACGCAAATTCAAAACCTACTACATAACATTTGGTTATTGGATAAATGTTCAGATATTAAAGGGAAGCTAATGGATGGAGAATCATATGGGATTAATTTTGGTTTAATGTGAGTTTATTGATGTTTTCATTTGATTTTGCTTTTTCTGCAGTATTCTGAGAAGGCTCTCTACAACCAGATCTGCTTCTACAGATTCATCTTTGATTGGGAGCACGCCGTCACTAAAGTCCTGTCACCTGATGAGAGAAGTAAGTTGGTGATTGTGATGTCATACGTGTCTTGGTGTTACATTTTCGCGGCTTCGGTGAAACAAAGTCCACTTATATTCACTTCTTACTGTTTTTATTCCTGTTATTCTGCCGCTCCAGCTTTGAAATCAAGTTAGTGGCGCCACTGAAAGAGCTTTGAATTTTAATAACCTAACAATGCTTTCTCACGCGTACAACATGACATTAGCAATCAGTGTCTCAACATAAACCTTTTTACCCAGGCTGCACTTAAAATATTCACCGGCGATGCGACACACACGAACACACACCAAGTTGCGGCGCACAGGAGCTGGTTATGGGTAGGGGGGTTAAGGACATTCAGCTCCTCGAGTCGACAGCCCTAATTTAGGAGACGGATTCAATCACACACACATACAGAATGCAAAACGCTCCAATCACTGGAAGAAAGCAGGAAAGGGCCCTCCATCGCTCTCCCTCTCCCCTCACTGTCCATCTCTCCGGCTTTCTCCTCCGTGCTCCCTCTCTCCTTTTTGTCTCTCTCTCTGCCTCTCTTGGACAGGCACTCGTTTGGCTGTGTTGATTGAAAACAGGTTTTAGATTTGGGGAAATGATAGGGCGAGTAATGGGCGCGCTGACGAAAGGATAGCCCTTCTCCTGTAATGGGACATGGAGCATATATTTCCCCCCTTGGACTCAAATAGACGCTACTCCAGCGATCTGGGTGCACTCGGTAGGCGTCGGCTCCAAGGCCTCTTTAGCCACAGCTCTCCCTGATTGATGTCACTTGATTAGAAAGGGCCGCCAGGCCGAGTGATTTATTTATTTGATTAAATATTTATGTATGTATGTTATTTATGTATGTACGCCTGGGCCGTGCGAGGCAGCAAAAGAGTGAGACAGCTGACTTAAATATAACGTGTAATCAACAGATGACCACTCAGAGGATGGAGGGAGCTGAAATAGAGCGATTGTAGAAGAGGGGGGGGGGGTATTAACATGATTATAGCCTCCATTTTTGCTTTCTTTTATTTCTGTCTTTGCTCGATGCAAGAAATCATCACCAATCAATTCCCGACTCTCCTCTTTTCGTTATGTTCGCTTGTGTTTTACAGCACTGGCGTGTTTTTCTTCCTATTGGTCTTTTTTTGTATCGTCATTCATGACGTCACATTTTTACCAGGAAATGGTTCAAAACAGGCTTAGAGCTAGCATTTAAATTAGCGATCTGTCAGGGATGCGATATTTCGTGCTACGATACTGAATTGATATTTAAAAGATGTACATTTTTTAATTGAGAATTGACATGTACCGTATTTTCTGGAGTATAAGTCGCACCAGCCATGAAATGTATAATGAAGAAGAAAAACATATATAAGTCGCACTGGACTGTAAGTCGCATTTTGGGGGGAAATTTTCTTATTTTTCTTACAAAATCTGAGACCAAGCGTTTCACATTGCAAGACAAGTACCGGTAACAATAACAGAATAAACAACCAGAGCGCAGCAGCGCGCCACGGTCTCCAGCAGAGGATGGCGGTGTTTCAAACCCTCGCAGTGGGCGGGGAGAGCTCATTCCTGGGCCGGAGCCGCCCGGCCTGCAACAGCTCGCCACGGTCCCCAGCAGGCGATGGCGGGGCAGAGGAGCTTATTCCTGGTCCAGAACCGGCCTGCAGCAGCGCGGTATACATAATGTGGTATATAAGTCACTTTGGTATATAAGTCGCAGGACCAGCAAGACTATGAAAAAAAGTGCGACTTATAGTCCGGAAAATACGGTAATCATTTACTGTATTTATTTTGCGTGTTGCAGTTCAAACTCCGACTGCTAGGTGGCAGCAGTTTTTAACGCCTTCATTCTGGTGCAACAGTGAAAGCTTTCTCTGACACTGGATGTGTTTTGGAACTGTCTTGCCTGAGTTTTCCAGTAAATAATTCCTGAGCACAGCCATAGCTGCAGCACAGCACTCCCCACGGGATGGGTGAAACGCAGAGATGTCATTTCACCAGTGTGTGATGATGACTAATGGGACTTTAGTTGGTCCACAACAAGTTTTGCATTCACAATCCAACGTAACAGACTGCGGAAAACATTCAAAATTTACCTGAGATGTGTCTGTCGTAATCCCTGTCTTCCTAGCGTCAAACTTTTGAGTGACATCTTATTGGACCAAGAAAGTAAAACTGTAATAAACCAGAAAATAATCGTTTGAAAGAAACCAGTTCAACGTTCCGTTAAGACCAACGATTTTAGCAGGAGGTCACGTCTACAACATGTCTGCCGTGACCTAAAGGCATCGTGCATTAGCCTCTGTTTACACCTGTGTGTGTGTGTGTGTGTGTGTCGTCTGAACTGGTTCACATTGTTTCACTGTACCATTTAATCCCGTCTCATTGCATTTCCAAACCAAACCATTAATTTTCTGCACACTCACTCCTTTCTTTTCTCCAAATAAAACACACACACACACACACACACACACACACACACACACACACACACACACACACACACACACACACACAGCTAAAAATATAGGTTGGGTGTAATCCCTCAGTCCTGGGGCAGAAAGGCAGTAATACCCCATATTACTGCATTACGCACCCAGGGGCCCGCACCACTCAGATTACAAGGAGGAGATGTGCCATCCTACACACCGACCATGAGTCCATGCGTGCATGTTAGCGTTAGCGTTAAAACTGATTCACGAGTACCCGTTTCTGCTTTCTGGAGCTGATATTACTTCAGTAGTTTGAGTAGTAAATGCAGCAAAACTGGATTTATAACTAATGCAACCACTGAGCCTTCGTTTAGTGTTTTTTATAACAATGAATCATAAATATGCAAAAAATTCATCCAATTTCCCACCGTTTCACTAGCTAACTCTTATTATTTAAATCAGAAATTCCTCGAATGGTAACCGTGCAGCAGTGGCTGGTGACGGCTCACATTTCACTCTGTTATTATTACTCCTTGTGTTTTACTCAGTCTGCTGGCTTAACATCAGCTGGGCGGATGCTACAGAGGTGCAGAGTGACAGAACGGTGATTATGAATGTGTGGCGTGATCGTTGGAAATGTGCCGCTAACGCCGCTGCACAAACGAGCTGGTGTTTCTGCCCGAGGTCGACTCTCAGCGGCGCGCTCTCCATCTGTCACCCTCCACGCTGGACACACACACTCCTGAAGGGCTGTGTTTAAATCTCACAACTAAAAGCTGTGGTTTTGTTTTTTGGCCATTTGAATGGATCGATCGTCTTAAGTCGGCTTTTGTTTGCTCAAAGCCGATGGAGGTGATTCTCGATGCGTCTGTTTAGATAATATCTGTGTTTTTACCCCCAGTCCAGCCGCGACGCAGTCTCAATGTAAATGTTTGAGAGCTCACTGAGCATATATATATATATATATATATATATATATATATATATATATAATAGAAGACATAAATGGAAAATTGCACAGACTGTACCTGCAACACAAAAGAGCTCTGACTCAAGCAGATTGTCGAGTGTGTGAGTGTGTGTGTGTGTGTGTGTGTACACTCCACATTTGCAAGCGTGTCTTATCTACATGTACGTTGCGTTTTTTGTGCCTGATTGGTGCGACTGAGTAAAACATGGAGGTAATTTCACCCACTGCAGGAGATCTCTAAAGGATTACACACAGAGTCAAGGAAAAAATAATAAAACCCACACACACACACACGCTGTCCGTTTTCTTAGCTGGGAGCGTCCCGTATCAATGACTTTCAAATCGTTTCGCTTTTCCTTCTGATCTCCTCCCTTGTTTTCTTTTCTCCTTTCCTCTCCGATGCCCCTCCATCCCTCCAGGTTTCAGCCCGGAGCGTAGGCAGTATGATTGCGTGCAATAATGCAATTTTTTCGCATTGATAAAATATAAATTGTCCTTGAGCTTCGCTTTTTCTAATGATCCATTTACAGACACCTCAGAGCCGCGGTCCTCTTCCCTGCCCTCCCACTCCTCCGTCTCTCCCGCTCTCCTCCCACCTCCCTCTCTTCGGCGATACAAAGCAGGGTGGCAAAATCCACGGGTGCGATTGTCAAATCAATTATTCATTCTGTGCAATTACACTCACACAAAGAAGTTTCCCCGTGCTCCGAGTAGTGATTAAATTAACTGCTATTCCAGCTGCCCGTCGCCACCAGACTAATAGAATATTCATGGAGGCGGCCGACAGAATGGCCGATCTCCATTAACTTCATCATGCTCACTTAATTACAGGCTTGTTATTGTATTTACACCTAGTTAGAGCGTGCAGAGCCCCGATCTCCTCGTGCCCAGCTCCACCAGAGTGTGTGACAACACCTAGTTAGCTCTGGTAACGTGCACCGCTCCTGGACTTCATCCCTCCGTCACGTCTGGGCCTCCGCTTCACCGTCCCTTACTTTTTCTTTCTACTTCCGCCTCTCGCTCCCTGGTCTTATTTGAGCCTCGCTCCCCGCTGAACGCCCACTCTCTCTCTCTTTTGCTCTCCACCGGTTAATGGATAAGCTGTGCATAAGGATTTTACTGTTCTCATGCAGCAACTGCCGCAAGCCCAGATAATAGATCATAGATCTGGGCTTGCTGCAGTTGGTCAGGTTTTCAGCAACAGGATGTGCTCCAAGAAAGAGGTCAGCTGACCACCTGAATACACTGAATGACCAGGTTGTTCCATCTTCCCTGACGGCACGGGCATATTCTAAGATGACGATGCCAAGATTCATTGGGCTCACATAGTGAAAGAGTGGTTCAAGGAGCATGAGGCATCATTTTCACACATTGACTGGCCACCAGAGTTCAGACCTTAACCCCATTGAGAATCTTTGGGTTGTGCTGGAGAAGGCTTTGTGGAGCAGTCCGACTCCACCATCAGTGCAAGATGTTGGTGAAACATTAATGCAACGCTGGATGGAAATAAATCTGGTGACACTGCAGAAGCTTATCGAAACAATGCCACAGTGAATGTGTGTCGTAATCAAAGCTAAAGGCATGACGGCGTCCAACAAAGTATAAGCGTG